TTTTGGGCCTGCGCAGCATCCATTTTGGCTCGCTTGGCTGCCGCCTTGCGATCCTTTTCCTCTTGCTTAAATCTCTGGATTCGCTTGTCGTTGTTGTAAGCCAAGTCGACCAAGGCGCGAATACGAGTCATCTCTTCTTTTTTGCGTTTGATGCGCGCCGTCTTGTTCTCCTTCTCGATCCAGCGACGCTCGTCCCTATCCTGACCCTTCTCCTTGTCCTCCTCGTCCAGGTAGCTGAACTCGCGCCATGACTTGAAGTCGTACCAGAAATTGTAAAACCGTTCGACATCCTCTCGCTTGGCATCCACGTCGCCAAACGGCGGCACATTTGGCTTTTCGCTCCAACGCGCATTCAAATTAAAATACTTATTAAACGATTCAAAGTAATTGTTATCGATATCCGATTGTGAGGGAAAACCGTCGTCAAATTCGGGATCCACTGAGTCGTAGCTACGGCGTGTTTTTGGGGTGCCTGCAATAGCAAAATTTCGATGTATTAATTAGTCAAATTAATATAATTATACTTATGTGTATTTAGACTTATATTTAAATCTATATTAATATTGCTAAAACAACAAACGGGGCAATTCTGAGGCCTCTCTCTCTCTACATTTAGCATTGATATAAGACATTAGCAAGCAAATACAATACATATGTGACGTAACATTAATACGACATCTAAATGCTCTAAAAATATTTTTTATAATACACAGTAGAGTCCAGATATAGTGACGCTGAAGGAACCGTCATTGTGCCTGGAAAACGATATAACCATATAATTCGCTGTAATTACCGTGCGGACGCTTTAAGCGGAATCGTTATAACCGGACTCTATTGTATATACTAGATGATATCCTATATAAAATATTTATATGCATACTTCACACATAGCCAGTATGTGCTTTATAGTTTATTTAAAATATTTTGACCTTCTCGCGTACATAGCTAAAGCAATTATAATTGCTTGTTTAGATATATCGAATATCCACCCATATATATGTATACATATTTTCTACGCTACACTTTCTAAGATATATCCACTGCTTTTAGATATATCGTATCACTAGGATATATTCTTTTTGTACTATTATTATCTCACATATTTGAAAATATATAAACTACAAGTATTTATTTACATATATCTCCTACCTTACATACATCTTCCACTCATATGCACATATTCTATTCTTCTTCTACACTATTATTTATCTGGTTTATTTGAACAGCTGTACAACAAATTTAAGCTACAATTACGTATTTAAATATACCGAATCATCAAGAATACACACTATGTAAAGTAGACTATAATTAGTCATTTGGATATATCTCTATCCAAGTGTCTATGCATATGCTATTCTTCGATACTATTATTTATCCTCGATAATTTCTTCAACTGTAACAGCTGCAAAATCTAATGCACAATTATTTGTTAAGATATATCGACTACCAACCAAGTATTTCGTAGGCCTTTGTTATGCATGTGAAGTAGTCGTCATCCGTAATCACCTCCTCTCCTTTGGCTTTCCGCTTGTCCGGATGATGCAGCAGCACCATTCGTCTGTAGGCCTTCCGAATGTCATCATCGCTTGCTTCGTATCTGTGTATGTGTGTGCAAAATAAGTTAATTCAGTTAATACACGTGCACACGGTCACACACACACGCATTCTCTCCCTTTCTCTCTCTCTAACGCATACCCACACACGTTTGCACACATTAACAGATAAACGCACCTTAATTTGCCAAGGCCAAGAACGCTGTAATGATCCTGATCCTTCCATTCTTTGGGATCAAGGGACTTGAGGTAGCTTATGTCGACATCCTCGCCAGCGCCCGCCAATTTCTCATCAGAGTCGCTGCGCTCGACGCCGTTCGCATCGCCAATTTGGCGGCGTGCGTTAAAATATGCGCAACCAACGCGTTCGATTTTATGACGCGCTACTTTCAGCGCAGAGCACTCAATTTCTATGCTGTTAGTCATTATAGGTGTGTAGAAGTGTGTATCGTGTTGCAAAAACTAATTGCATCAAATTACATAAAGCACACTGCACTACCTCGAATTTTGTTTGGACAACCCGAAAAGTGTGTAATTAATTCACTTCACTACCGCATGCTTGAGCTAAGTGTAGGCAAGCGACAAAAAAAAGCATAGTTAAGTGCGATTGCGATACGATAGGCACAATACTAGCAATCTTTACCAACACCGATTGTGTAAATCGTTAATTAAACTTCATGTGGTGGCTGGTCGATTACCAAGAATCCCAAATGTCGGCAAACAATTAAGCCAAAATAAAAAATATATATACTGACAGTTATCTTTGTGAAGTAATTAACTGGCTAATCGTATGCCTTCTATCTAAATTGCACATTTAAATGATTATATAAATGCAAATATGTGTCTATATAAAGAAACTTTTTCAAAGGTGTTTAATTAGTGATGAAACAATTAAAAACAAAAATATGTTGGGAAAAATTAGTGCAGTATACCGATAGCTATCGATAGCACTTTTATGTCTCTTGCATATATGGGAGTACCCCAGTTTTAATAGTTTAAGTAAATAAAAAATGCTGCTTAAAGAGAATCTCTATCAAACATGAATAAATCTCAGGAGAGGAGCACTGACTCCGCTATCTCCACACCGAACAAGGCAGACGATGACCTTCACAATGTTTCTGATACTTTCTACACCAGCCAGCGCAAGGGCAGCCACGTATTTCGTGTGCGTCTGGATGCCACAGGATTTACTCTGCAACGCGAATCTCCCAGTGGTGTCATAATCAAAGAGCAAAAGGTCAAAATATGTGATATCATTGGAGCACGCTGCATGCGCATGAAAAAGTCGCCTCGAAATCTGGCAGGCTGCGCCTGCGTCAATCCGGGCACTCCAGCTGCGGGCTCCGGTCGCAAGGGCACGCCCAGCAAGTGTAGCATGGCCAGCAAGGAAGAGAACGCGACCGACGTGGGCGACGGCAGCGCCTATTTGTACTTGTTCGCCTACGTGCTGAAGAAGAAGAGCCTTCGCAGCAGCCTGCACAGGGAGCGGACAGTGCTGACGCTTCGGTTTCGATCCTTTGATACATTCGAGGATAACATGCGAGAGGCTGATCGCTGGTATCGTGCCTTGCGCTGGCAGTTGCATCAAACGCTGGAGCCCATCTTTGTGGAGAATATAGGCGAGCCGCGTCGTCGCCGAATCCTGGTGCTCCTCAATCCTAAGTCTGGCTCTGGCAATGCACGCGAAGTATTCAATACGAGTGTCGCACCGATTCTCAACGAAGCCGAAGTACCTTACGATTTGTTTGTAACTAAGCATTCCAACTATGCAATCGAATTTATGAGCACTCGCCGTCTGGATGAGTGGTGCACCATTTTAGCCGTTGGCGGCGACGGACTGTTCCACGAGGTAATCAACGGACTGCTCTGCCGCGCTGATTGGGCTCAAGTGATGGACAGCCTTGCCCTGGCCATTATTCCTTGCGGCTCTGGCAATGGTCTGGCACGCTCCATTGCGCATGGCTACAAGTAAGTGGGTGATACCCGCAGGTGTTTCCGTTTGATACAATTACTAATCTCTGTTCCTGCTTGCAGTGAACCATACTTCAGTAATCCTGTACTAGGTGCCGCTCTGACAGCCATCAGTGGTCGCACTTCGCCCATGGACGTGGTGCGTGTGGAGGTTAAGAACCGCGTCATGTTTTCGTTCCTGTCGATCGGCTGGGGCCTCATCTCGGACGTGGACATTGAGAGTGAGTGTATCCGGATGTTTGGCTACCAACGCTTCACCATCTGGACACTCTATCGATGGGCAAATTTGCGAACCTATAATGGTAAGATCAGTTATTTGCTAGCCGATGAGGCAGAGGAGTCGCTGGAAACGCCGCTGCTGCAGTCGGAACAGATGCGAAAAATGCAATCCAGCCGCAGCTGCACAATGCATATCGATAAACTGTCCAATGCCAGCAACCACCGTTCCATGGAGTTTCTGCCGCAAGAGTTCGAGGATGTCATTTCGCTGGAGACTTCCATCAATCAATCATTCCGCTCGCGCTGCGACAGCTGGCTGTCGGGCGGCTCACGCCGCAGCTGCTATTATTCCATATCAGAGAGTATCTATCACAGCGTGGCGGATGACAGCGAATTCACTCAACCGTCGATTTCGGCGGGCACTAAATTGGAGCAGGGCTATCCTAATTTTGGCCCAGGTACAAGCCTGCCGGGACTTGACGAACCATTGCCCGAGGCTGCGGGCTGGCTGGTGGAGGAGGGCGAATTCATTATGATGCACGCCATCTACCAATCTCATCTCGGCATCGATTGCCACTTTGCACCCAAAGCCCAATTGAACGATGGCAAAATATTTTTAGTTTTGATTCGCGGCGGCATCAGCCGTCCACACTTGCTCAGCTTTCTCTACAACATGAGCACGGGCAGTCACCTGCCTGAGAAAAACAACCAGTATATAAAGGTGCTGCAGGTGCGCGCATTCCGCTTGGAGCCGTACGACAATCACGGCATCATCACCGTCGATGGCGAACAAATAGAATTTGGTCCACTTCAGGCAGAGATACTGCCGGGCATTTCGCGTGTCATGATACCAAAATAAGAACAAACGAATATGTATTTCCAGCAACGATCGTACATTCAAGCAATAACTAATCAATAATGGGAATCTCTGCATTTGAATAAGTAGGTGTAGGTAAATATTTGTTATTATATTTGGCTGCGTGCGTCTCGGTGGATGCATGCACAAGAGAATGATTTTTATATTAATGCTGGTACACGTTTTTGTAACTCTTCTTGTTAATATTTATTATAATGATTGCAGTTAGAAACAAATAAATATAAACATATATCTATGTATGTATGTAAGTAAAGCTGTTTTCATCTGTGGGCAAATGTAACGAGCTGAGCAAAAGCAGTAGTGGCAAAAGTAAGCGCTTCATAATCATTTCAAACGTAACAGCTGTTTTTTTTTTAAAGCTCAGGCAACCCTGTCAAATTAAAACTTATCGATAGCCTAATTGAAACGCAATAGGAAAAAGTGAAAAAATAATTTCCGGACAACAATTTAGTTGATGCGGTGGGTAGAACGTTGAATAGCAAGTGAGATTTCACAATAGACACTGACTTGGCACAGGAGCTAAGATTTATTGCCAGCCAAGGCCATCGTTAATAAAATAATTGACACAATATGTCAGCGGAGGAGCTGGCGCCAATTAACGAGCAAGATCTGAAGGACCTGAAGCAGCGAATGAAGCTCATAGCTGACGCAGACCCAAATCAATATCAGAATGAGTTTTCACTGCGGCGTTATCTGCGCGCCTTTAAGACTACAGATGACGCATTCCAAGTGAGTTATTTTCACGCCCACACGCCCACATCTTGACATTGACTTTTATACACATTATGCACATATGGTTAACCTTTCGCCACCCACCCTTATAGGCCATATTGAAGACGAACAAGTGGCGTGAATCATATGGCGTGGCCAAACTGAACGAAATGGACCGTAGCCACTTGGAGAACAAGGCACGGGTCTTGCGGCATCGGGATTGCATTGGCCGTCCCGTCATTTATATTCCAGCCAAAAATCATAGCTCTTCGGCGCGCGACATTGACGAGTTGACGCGATTCATTGTCTACATTCTGGAGGAGGCATGCAAAAAGTGCTTCGAGGAGGTCACAGACCGCCTGTGCATTGTCTTCGATCTGGCTGAGTTCAGCACAGCGTGCATGGACTATCAGCTGGTGCAGAATCTTATCTGGCTGCTCGGCAAACACTATCCGGAGCGATTGGGCGTTTGCCTAATCATAAATGCACCTGGCATCTTCTCGACCGTATGGCCAGCCATTCGCATGCTGCTCGATGACAACACCGCCAAGAAGGTGAAGTTTGTTAACAGTGAGGTGGATCTATGTCAATATCTAATTCCGGATATACTTCCGACAGATATGTAAAGAAATGGGGAGCATTGTTATAAGTAGTTGTAGGCATACATATCTCTAAATGAGGCACCTTTGACATTATACTGCAACTCGAGACAACGTGTACCTATTAGAAACCAGTACCTAAATGACTGTATTTACTATCTATGCAGCACGAGGCTTCTGAAAGCTTTTACATAGTTCGTATTATTTACGTGCATATATTGTTTATAACTGAATGTCTTTGTCGTGTAGCGTTGTTTAAATGAGTAATATTATTATTGGTATATGTCTATATATCTATATATGTATATGTATAATAAAGTTGTAAAAAAAAAATTGAATGCGATTGTTGACTGGGAACCATGTAGGCCACAAGTTGATAGAGTGCTCTATATTTACTACTCCTTATCTCAATAAACAGAAAACGTATTAAATGTTGTTATTGTTACTCTATACCATCAAGATAACAATTTTGAATGTTTATGAATTGTGCGCACTGAACTGTGCTGCCAGTCTGCTTACAGAAAGTAATGCTAAAGATGTGGCAACTCACTTATCAAAGAAAAGTTTCTTAATGAAGTAGGGTATCGCACAGTCTTGTTTAATCTCAAGTAGGCGAGTGATATAGATTTAATTTTAATCAACTAGCTTATGAAGACAACTTTTATTTATGATATGCAAATAATACTCACAAACCTAATGCAGCTATTGTTAGTAATTACACAGTAATGTACAGTAATGTTACAGGTTTTGTATTTGAGAGCAATAGACTTAAGGTGTGACGTCACCTGCTCATATGGAATGAGCGCCTGCTGCGTGTGAATTTGGACACCTGCACATTAACTCGTCACCATGATTGACACCAAGTGGTCAAGTTTATTATCGGAAACTAGAGTAGTTGATTACGAGGCAGCAAAATGAAACGACTATGCCCAAAGAGCAGCGCAAATTTAGTTTGCCAGCGATCGGCTTTTAAGCTTCAGTAAATAACGAAGTGTGCTCCGAGAAGCAGCAGCAGCAGCGGCAACGGCGGCTACAAAATGACAGCAATGAAAGCTCATATCGCAGCATTGGACGTTGGGACGACGTATTTGCGGTGCTTCGTGCTCGATGAGAACTGCGCGGTCGAGGGGTCGGCAGCGGATGCAGTGAGTTAATTAAGTGGCGGCGGGCAAAGTTGAGAACCATTTAACTGTATGATATTTGTAGGTTGAGCTATTAAATCCACAGCCGGGCTATTTCGAGATAGAACCCGAGGGCTTATGGCGTAAGATAGTCAAGGTGATTAGAGAATCGATACACAGTAAGTACTTGAGATTAGTAGTGCCCCCCACATATACAATGGCTTATCTTTAATCTGCTGCAGACGCAAAGCTGACACCAGCAGATATCAGCTGCCTCACAATATCGACGCAGCGGTGCACGTTCTTAACGTGGAACCACAGGACCAAAGAATACTATCACAATTTCATCACGTGGAAGGACTTGCGCGCGGACGAGCTGGTCCAGCAATGGAATTCCAGCTGCTTGTTACGCTTCATGAATGGATTCTCCTACTCCCTGTACCTGCTGACCAGACAAGCGCGTTTCTTGGCTGGCAGTGTGCTCAAGCTGATGAATGGCCAGGTGACGCCACGTCTGCTTTATGAGATTGCTCACAACAAGCAACTGCAGCGGGCACTGCACGAAAAGAAGGCGCGCCTGGAGCTACTCGATTCGTGGATACTGTACAAGCTGCGGTCCGGCAACGGTCTTGATCCAGATGTAGCACATATAACCGATATTACCTCAAGCACTGCCACCGGTCTGTACGATCCCTTTACTCTCAGCTGGTCGCCACTTGTGCGCTGGATGTTCGGCATCGATGTAAGTGGAGAGCATTTATTTCTGATTCCATTCAATAGTTCCCATTCTTATAGTCCAGCGTTTTGCCTCGCGTGGTTGAGAATAGCTACAGGGATTTCGGATACGTGCATCCTTCGACATTTGGGCAGGAATGGAACAACACTAAGATTCCCATTGCTGCCTCCCTCAGTGATCAGACGGCTGCCATGTGGGGCTCGCAGTGCTTCGCCACAGGCAATGTGAAGATCACCATGGGTACAGGCGCGTTCCTAAACCTTGTGACCGGGCCAGATTGCAAGGCTGTGATTAGCGGAATGTATCCACTGGTAGCTTGGCAGCTGAAGCGTGCTAGTAAGCAGATCGACACGATCTACTGCATCGAAGGTGCTGCCCACGACTTTGGAACGGTGGTGACATGGGCGCAATCCTGCGGACTGTTCGAATCGCCCGCTGAGACCGCCGCCATAGCTGAATCAGTGCCAGACACTAACGATGTTTACTTTATGCCCGCCTTTAGCGGATTGGGTGTGAGTACATAGAGAAATAGAGTCCAATGTATTTAATTTCATATCTGTTACGTCTATCCAGCCGCCAGTGAATGACTATCGCGCCGCCAGTGGCTTCATTGGCATGACACCGTCCACAACCAAAGCGCACCTGGTGCGTGCGCTGCTGGAGAGCATCGTGTTTCGTGTGGTGCAGCTGATTGAGACAGCGGAGCACGAAACGGGACACAAACTGAAAGTCATTAAGTAAGGCAGTGACATCAGCATTCGACTCGAGTTTCATAATCATTAACTATTTTCCAGAGTGGACGGCGGCGTCTCGCGCAATGATTTCGTTTGCCAGTTCTTGGCAGATGCCAGCGGTCTGCGCGTGGAGCGCGCCGACTGCTCCGAGTCTAGTATAATGGGCGCCACCTTTCTAGCAGGCGTTAATCATGGCATTTGGCACACGCTCGACGATCTCAAACGCTTTCGCCATGTGGAGCGTATTTTCGAGCCACAGCCAAAGCAGTTCGATTCGATCGCCAACCGCATGCAAAAATGGAGTCGAGCCATTGAACGCTTTAGCGGCTGGTACTAGGACACAAAAAAGACTATTGAAATAGTTACGCTTAAGAACATTTAATTTGTTTGTGTGAATTGTTTTCTTACATTAAAGTTGTTATAAAAAAATCTATAAATTATTGTAAATGTAAAAGGGCCAAATGGAATAGATTACTTTCCAACACGAGTTCTATATTGACTTAACTTCCTTAAGACTTGCATTTCAGTTGAATCGTTGCTGGAAGTTTTGTTGTTGATTGAAGATAATTTGTTGCTGTTGTTGTTGCTGCTGCTGCTGCTGCTGCTGTTGCTGATGATGGAAATCCTGTTGGTTGCCAGCGCCTGATAGCCGAACGCGCTTGGCATTCGGTTCATTGGGATTCATTTGCTGTTGCTGTTGCTGCTGCTGTTGTTGCTGTTGTTGTTGCTGTTGTTGTTGCTGCTGTTGTTGTTGTTGTTGCTGCTGCTGCTGCTGCTGTTGTTGGCGCTTGTTGTCCGACTTGTCCTCTTGGTCGTCATCGGTGAGGAATTCACGCTTGGGATACGGTATGGGGCAGCCGGCGAAGACGTCCTGCGTCGGCAGTGGCTCCTCCTGGAAATATGGGTCCTGCATCGCTTGCTCAGATGTTATGCGTTTGTTGGGATCCATTAACAGCAACTTTTGCAGTAGATGAAATGCTTTGCTATCGGGCTTAATCTTGTGACGTTCCATATACTTGGCCAGGGAGCAGGCAGAATAGGTGGAGCGCTTGAAGTCCTTAATCAGTGTATGGTGCTCTGGCATCTTTTTGATGTCCTCCCAGTCCTTGTCCTGCGGAAAGCCCATTACATTGAATATGCGGTCCAGCTGATCATGATGGTACGGATTGCTTGTCTTAATGTCCTCCTGCCGACAATGGAAGATAGGTTCCGACGTCAGCAACTCTGCGAAAATACATCCAATAGCCCAAATGTCGATGGCTTTCGTATAATGACGTGCACCTAGCAGAAGCTCTGGCGCTCGATACCAAAAGGTAACCACCACCGGATCCAGATCTGCCAGTGGCTTCAGAGGAGCATTGAAGAGACGTGCAAAGCCCATGTCGGCAATTTTGACACGCCCCCGCTCGTTGCCGTCGCCCATTACGAGAATGTTCGCTGGTTTCAGATCACGGTGCAAAACCCAATTGCTGTGCAGGTAATGAATGCCGTCCAGAATCTGATACAAAAGGCTCTTGACCATGCCGCGCGGCACAACCACATGCTTCTTGGTGGCCTTGGCTGCACGATGGAACTTGATGATATGCCACAGATCATGCTCCGCATAGTCAATCAGCAAAAACACCTTCCGGTCATTGTGTGACAAGAAGACTCGAATAAGCGCTATAACATTCTGGTGTTTCAGCTCGCGTAGCAGAGCAATCTCACGGCAAGCGGACATAGAGAGACCTGTGCCATCTATCTGTTTAAGAGCGTATTCCTTGCCATCGCTGCAGAAATCAAGAATCAGAATGTAAATACTTTGCTAGCTTTCTTTTGCTTACCTGGTCTCTTTCCACTTGGCCTTGTACACATGACCGTAGGTGCCACGGCCCACCTTACAGCCCTCATAGTTAAACAGATCTTCAACCTTTGTTCGCTCCATTTGGGTTTTCATCTTAAAATCGTAATCCATTTTCAGCAAAACTTTGTATTTACCTTAACCGCAATCACAGCTGTTTACAAGCAAACAAAATTGCATTTATATTAGAGATGGACAAAACTTATGTTTGAATACCCAAGTAACTGCGCCACGTTCACTGAATGATGTACAGTAAGCAAACATATTAAAACGAAGTCTTAAGATAACTTAATAATGTTCAGCTCAGGTTATTATTTATAATTATTATTAAATTATTATATTATTAAATTATAGCTCATCAAAGTACTCGCCTACATTATTTACGATATAGACGTGATTTTTATAATCGTATTAAGCATCAATTGTTACAAAATATCGATATATCAGCTGTTGGGCAAATCAAATGTCGATATCTGAAAACAAAATAAAACGTGAGCCCAAAAAAATAGAAACAACGCTCAACTCCGCATACTTTGATTAAACAATAAAAGAAATGGCAAAAACTAAAAGAAATATACGAGCGAAAGCCAAGAGTGCTGTAGGAGCGGCGAAGCAAAAGGTTCAGCAAATACAGGCGAAACTAAATAAAGAAAATCGCCAGGATAAATTGCTACACAAGACCCTCTCTCCAAAGAAGACCATATCAAAAAAAGAGAAGTCTGCAGAAAAACACTCAAAATTGCTAAAACGCTTCGGAGAAATACAGAAGGAGTTAAAGGAAGAGCAGGCACGCAAAGTTCGAGAGAAAACCAAAGTTGTAGGCGATTTAAAGCCCCTGCGAGATGCGCTGCCATCCCTAGGCGAGATGTACAAGTTGGTAAAAGCCCAAAAGAAAGAGAAAAAAGATGGTATCGTGGAAGAAGCTGAGACATTGAGTGCCAAAAAGAAGATCAAGAAGAAACGCAACGAATATGTAAACAAAGTCCGATCATTCGAGAAGCTAATAAAAGACAAAAACTTCAAAAAGAATCCCCGTGAGATAGTTGCGAATCACGTACGCAACAGGTATCAGGTGATGGAAGATGAGGACATGGAATAGAGAATCAAGAAATTGAACACATGATAATATTGCCTTTGCACGTTCATTTTATTTATTAAGAAATATCATTAATATGTGTATATTAATATATGTATATTTATACATACATATATGTTTAGCTTTATCATTTAACGATGCATATAAATATTACACACATAAATGTAAATGTAAGCATTATAAACTAAGGGGGATGTCAACAGAATGCAATTAAAGAGAGTTTTGAATATAAACTTGTTTTAAATAAAGCAAATGGGAGAGCTGCAGTGCAATTAGTTTCCTTGTTTAGCTTTCGACTTTACAGTACAGATTCTATATCATAGCCATAAAGCGTTATAAACTCTGTTAGGTTCAGATAGCTTGGTGTTGTTTTCTTACAGTGTACTTAGCACGAAATTCAAATCTGCTTCGATCAAATTCCTATAGATATATATGTATGTTTATATTATTTGTAAGCTTTATTTTTACGGCTTGAGCTCCAAATGTGCGCTTTCTACATATATCATATTTCAAACCGCACATTGAGGGCAAACAAGATTTTGTATTTGTTTATTCGAGTGAGATCAATAAAATATTTTATATATTTTTTAGAGTCACACTTCACACAAATTATCCATCATGGATTAACATAGTTTTTGTATTTATTGAAATTATTATTGAATTAGTGTTTTCAAATGGCATTTCTGATGTACTCGATACATATAAATCACGTACGTGGTATACATATAAAGTAGCTGTATCCTCTTTGTATATTGATCTATATAATGTACATATATATTAGTAGATTTATGAATATGGCTCTGTGTTTAAACATAATCAGGAAACGTCTCATTTACATTAATTTATATCTGTCTTACAATTAAATATATCGCATGTGTGGGACATTATTTACTTATTCTCTTTGCCAGCAATATAAAGCTTAAAACTCATCTAAACTTAGGTCACAATTACAACCTAACGCGTTACAGTTCTATCGTCATTGTTAGTATTAAGGGGTAAGGTGATTTTTCGCTTTTCATTTTACTTTAATTTTTTTTTTTTTTTTTTTTTCATTTTTAGTTATTTGAAAGTACATGTACATTTAGAGATAGAAAATATATATTCTTATATATTTTGGCTATATCTAGTTTTTGCACATTTATGAGTTAGAAACAACAAACTTAAACTAGGTTGAAAAATCTGTACTACTAGCATGTAACGATCGGTTTACTTATTCAGCAGAAACATCAGTAAACTGTAAAGAAAAGTTATGAGATAAATATGATTTAAGTGCTCATATACTTAACGCACCGGAAATTAATCCCTTTGTTGGCCAGCATACGATTGCATTCGCTGGAGCCCGTGCTGTTGCCATCAGGCAAGGGTAGCACGTAATAATCACTCTCAGTGCTCTGGAATGGAGGATGAATTGTATGTTTATAGATATTCCCCGAGCAATGTAAATATTATTGTACCGTTTCCGTAAACTCGTGCTTATATATTTGCGTGGAGACCTTCATGTCCGAGAAGGGACCTTTGAGTGCAAAGAAATGGATGCTCATTGGAGTGCTGGTTTTCGTCTTCAGTATTAGCTGATAGGTGATGGTTCGTTCGTTCGACTGATGCGGATCTCGCTGGCTGTTATTGATGCGCGCCTTCACCACCCACTGCTGGTTGAATGCTGAGAAACGGGCCGTTTCATAGAACAGCTTGTGCACATACTCATCTGTGCGATACGGTTTCATCTGTAGATCTGTATTGCCATGGTCATTAAAGAGTAGAAAGGAATTGTAGATGCTTCACTTGCCGTTAAATATGATTTTCTCGTAGCTCAGCAGATCTATCAATGTATTAAACATTTTCTTTTCCTCTTTGATCTTGACATCATGGGCCTCCAAGGCGGCCATCACCTCATAGCCAGATTTTTGGGGATGCAAGCAGTTGCGTTCGTGTTCAGTTGCTGTAAGAGATTAAGAAGTTTATGAATTATTGGTATACATAGACTTTCCTATATATTGGCATAGATACACACTCTCGTGATAAGGTCCACGCCACTGGCAGCCAATACGATGGTATTTGCATTTTGTGGGTCGCTCCTGACACTCGTGCTGCTCATGACGTTCCAGAGATTTGTATGGAAACTCTTTGTTGCAGAACTGAAAATTAGAAAAGGAAAATTGTTAGTCCAGACCAGGATATGAGATCGTCTATACTTGCTTACCTGACATTCGCTAGGCAATTCGGAAGCCGCCTTTTCCACAGCCAGATTACGGGATGCGGTGCTCTTTGATATTTCCACACGGCAGTTCGGGCACGTGGCTATCTGATCTCGTAGGCTGCAGGAAAATATATGAAATATAGGAAAGAAAGAGGAAAAGTTTTAGATTATTGGGCAATTTGGGCAGGTCGAAAGGTTAAGTGTTTGGTCAAATCACAGTAAATAATTTTTCAAGTCGTTTATTTTGCGCTTTTGTGTTTCATACCGTCCGTCCGCCAGGAGGTGGGTGAAGCAGGCGGCGCACATCAGGTGACCCATTTGGCACTAAAATAAAGAGAGCAGAGTGAAAACCAGAGAGGTTTTAGTGCGGGCGCATGTCAGGGATATATATGTTAAAAGATTTAAAAGTATATATATTTATACATCTGCATACATATGCATAAATATATACGTATGTGTGTTGTATGTAGTAGAACTAAAAAAAAAGTGGAATAAAAATTAACCTGCAATTAAAGAAAAAAGAAGAAAAATTTGCTATTAGTCAAATACTCTATTTTGCAAAAATTGAAGATGGATGAAGAGGGTGTGAAATGTGGGAGGATATTAAAAATTTGGTGAAGAGGGATTCCGGATCGGACTAGCTGATATTAGCAGGAGCAAGAAATTTTGAAATGATTGGATGGTTGGATTGATGGATTGAATGGGTGGTTCCTGTGGGGGGTTCTCAATTTTTTTTTTTTTTTTTGTGAAATAAAAACGCTTATTTTGTATTCAGTTTTGAGTTTAACAATTTGCACTCGTTGCAAAATTTATTGAAATTACTTTTCATTGTTTTGTTTTCTTTTCATATTTTTCTATTTGTACATTTCAATTATATATCAACAGTTTACAGTTACTGACGATTTATCTCAAATAGGCTAAAGGTATTTTAGATACTTAGCAGTAAGATTTAATTACAATACTAGTGGCAAAGTGTGTATGTGTGTGTGTGTGCTTACAAGAGTTAGCTAAGTTGGTAAAAAGTTTCATCTTTGTATGTATATATTAAGTTGACTTAACTAGATTATTCATTAGAGAGATAGAAATAGTTAATATAGAGGAGAGAGAGAGATAGAGAAAGAGATGTTAATGGTCTACAGTTAAGCATAGGCTGGAGCGTAAAAAAACTCCATAGGTCCATGACTCTATGGTGATGAAAATCAAAGGAAATATATACTATACATAATTTTTTAATTAATTTTTTTTCCCAATTTTGGAGACGAAAAAAAAAAAAGTGTGTGAAATGAATGATACGAAATCATTACTGTAGGAATAGGGGTAGTGTTCCATCCAATTGCCAGGGATCAGTCGAAAAGAGAGTGGAAAGAGAGAGCGAGATAATGAAAATATATGACTGGAAAAGGTCAGATCTGACGACCCGGATGGCTGCTTCTATTATACGATTCTCATTGGATTTGCAAAGAATGCGGGCCATGAGACGCGACACGAGACAACGCGACGATCCGTCAATTATCAATGCCGAAGCGTGATAAAAACTTCATACTTGTTCGATCTTTTGGAAATTCTATTTACAGAGTGACATGTGCGATATATATACACAAACATATGCATGTATACTTGCAACTGCCTGTATATGTATGTATATCTTTCTATTTGAGAGATAAGAGCACGTTCGTTATTTATCTTTGACTTTCTTGTCAGGTTTCCCTATGATGACGGGTGTGCGAGCAGGATAGCATTTTTGCTGCACCCCAAATCCTATTTCCATTTCCATTCGCATTCCCATTCTCTGAGGTTGAATGAACTTCCAAATGCTGTTCAAGCAGAAACCATTACGTCGTAGCAAACGCTATATTTATGGCATACACACACATAGAGTAAGCGATAGGCAGCTGTGACAATTGTTTAAAGCAAACCCCAAAATATGTATAAATTGTTTTATTAATTTTGTATTTGTATTATTAAAACTCTTCAACTGCTACACTCACTCACTCACTCTCTCTGCTCGCGTGTATTCATTCACTCGCTCACTTTTGTCGCTCCCCTTTTAAATAAACTCACAACAAAACCCAGCTGATAATGTTTTGGTAGATACGTCTGCATTCATGTGCGTGTGTGTGTGTGTATCCAAGTAGAGACGATTGTCAACATCGAAGAAACAGAGAACAGTAGTGACTGGTGGAGACGATAATATCAACAACTACAGCAAAAACAACAACTGTTGCGCAGGTAAAAGGAAACGCACACTGATGTTAGAATTTACAGGTTTTAGGTATTGCCTCTGAAACTGGAAAAACAAGTTTGCCTTAGATTACGGGTCACTCCAAATAACAACAATATCAATCTGCACACATCCAACACATTTTTTTTTTTTTTTCATAATTTGCTCTTCCACTCTCTCAGCAACAACATTAAAATGCAAATTTTTGAAAAAATAATGCCAATTGGTGGCCAATGATGAAAATGCGTCGTAGGTTTTTTTTCTCTCAACAACTACCAAATGTTTTTCTTTGCTCACAAACAGCTGACTATGTTACTAAGTAAGCTGTGTGTGCGAGCAGGATGAGACGAATGTCAATAACAGCACCGAGAAGAGCACCAACTGCCAGCAAAAGCAAAACAATAACAGAGAGCGTGAATATAAATAAACGAGAGTGAAACAGAGCTTATGCATGCGTGTGCGTGAATGTATGTGTGAAATTTTCAATGTGTGTGCTTTCGACAAAATTCTATGTACATACATATATATGTACAAACATCATTGGATTTAACGATTTCATACCAAACTCTTGGTATTCATTATACTTGTATTATAACATAATTACAAAGAGCAATATATTAGATACCTATGATGCATTCATGTATTAGTTGATGGGCCAAAGTAATGACGCAGTTATATTTATGATTGGTGTATATATGTGAATGTCAGTGTGTGTGTGAAGAGAAAAAGGGAAGAGAAAAAGAGAGAGACGGAAAATAAACCAGAGAGTCTGCGATAGTCAACGTAGCACTGTTGAAAAAAGGCGAAAAGGCTTAGAAAAGAAACGGTGAAAACAACAAGAATTAAGAAGCACATACATGCATACATATGTATATACATGCTATATATACACACAGTTGTTTATACAAATATATATGTGTGTATATATCGTCAATATAAACATATTGTACGTGTTACGTAAAGCTTTGATTGTTAATAAATTGGCACAATTATTTATTAAATTAAAAACATCGTTGCCGAATTCAGCAACAATAAATCTGACGAGCCACTGCATTCATGAATGATGTATGTACATATATGTATATAAGTGATTTCAGTAAAGAATAGGAAATGACAAACAGGCAATTAGCTTTTTGCATGACAATATACATACGCACATACATACATATGTGTGTGTAGATATGTATGTATGTCGACATAGCAAACAAATACTGACGTTCATTCGTTAGCATTCTTTTTGATTGCGGGCGGGGTTTAGAGAAACGAGACGTCGGCAATGGCGCCGCCGCAGCGGGGGTCGCACGGACTACGCAGCTAAAAATAGGCCACGAACACAACACATAACAGCTCCATTTCACAATATGTAAATAACGCATCCATGAGAAACTGTTTGCTATTTTCTCCACACATACATATGAATGTATGTTTATACATAAGTTTATGCAAATTTATATGCATACATAATATACATATGTATATGTATATATAGATTCATCTATAGAAAGAATGAACGCATACAACAAATTCGATGACGCAACGGCGGCAAAGGCAGTAGTGCAGCTGTTAAGAAGAGTGTTACAGTTAATGTAACTGCGCAAATAGTTTTAAGGTGGGGGTCAGTGGGGTGAGCATTGAAATTGAGCAGGGTTGCTTTGGTCGTTGTTCGCCTAAAACGCAATAAATGTGCAGCAGCATGGCGAGAACTGCATGCTATGTAACCATAATGCGTGTGAGCGAGTGCGCTGTATATATACATATTTACAGAAAACAGTTAATGGGTGAGCTGCACGAAGAAGGTTGGAGGCCAAATGGTGCAAGTGCGTGGCATTGTCGTTTTCAAGGCAACGGCAATGGGCTCTTGTAATTTAATCATAGGCAAGCAAATAAATACACTGTTCATTTTCTCAAGTTCCCTTACATTCTGCTATGTGGCGCTCGCCTTGCGCGCTCTCTCTCTAACTGGCGAGCCCAGCTGTGTGCGCTGCGCTCAACGGGTCAGCGGCGGTGTGTGGGGTGGGAGTGGCCACTTACAGCTGAGTTTTCGATTGCTTTTGCTCGATTTGTTTTGTATACAGAGAAATGTCACAAATACACGCATACGCATAGAGAACACTGCTGTATGTATGCATTTACTCGCAAATGCACATATGCATTTCAATGCACATACGTTGGTCTTTTTTTTGTACATATTTATAAATTAAATTAATTTTTTTTTTTTTTGAGTTTTCATGCCACAGTCAACTCACCTGATACATGGCCGTTTTGGGCAAATCCAGACACACGGCACAGCACAGTGCAGTCGAGATGCGATAGGCGAGTTTCTCGTGTGTTCCGGTTCCAGCTCCAGCTGGACCGCTGCCCCCACCGCTTGATAATGAGCCCGACGAGGAAGAGGCTGCGTTCGGATCGAGCATCTGCTTCTTAGCAGGTGGCTCGCCGCTGCCTTGCGTATCTAACGGTACGCCCACCGACATGTTACCGCTTCCTCCCGCTGATGAAGTAGAGGCCTGCATTTGCATTTGCATGGTGCTCACTTGATTATCGCCCAACATTGGCAATGTGGACGAGGGTGGCTGCTGAACTGCCGAACTAGAGGATTCCACAGTAGACATATTGCCTTTATGCTGCAATCACAAGTCTGTGTTTCTTTGTCTGACTTTGTTGATTGAAAAAATTAGTTATGTGCGATTGCAGCTATTCCAATTGTCTTCCTCTCTTTTTCTTTCTAGCATATATGCACACACAAACACTCTCCCCAACAACACAGCCAATGCACTGCACTTTTGTGATTTTCCTATTCACAACTTTCTTAGCTCTCAAATTTCTCGGTTCAACTTTCCGCAACACGTCAATCCACTTTGAAAGTCACAGACACAATGAAAATGAGAGGAGAGATGTATGTTCACAGAAAATGAGCGCATAATGTTAAGCCAGCAGAATGTTAATAATACAGTGGTCTTCAATCAATTCAAACAATATTACGTTCATCTATTAAAGCTTTTTTCCGAGGCTTAGATGATCACTAGTGGTGGGTTAATACTTCAAATAATTCACCGATTATTATTATTAATATAAAATATATAATAGACTAAAATAATTTGTTTGTACTATTATTTGAAAACTAATTCGAGGGCTGCTCGGTAAAATATGATATCAGTTCTACCATATATGTATGTATGTATATTTATGACGATTGAGTCACTCAATCGTGGTGTGTGTATCTTTTAACAGTGCACATATTGGGGTTACTGTTATCACCCACGTTGCTGTAATACTCATGTTGGTAATGTTATTATTACAAACAGCTGTTTTTGTTTTGGGTCTTATTTTATTCGTTCCCAATCTGATTTATAGTTGATTTATAGAAGATGAAAGTCAAAATAGGGAGGGGGACTCTTTTTATTTATATATTGATTTCATTGTTCTTCTTAATAAACACCAGTTTAATTCATTTTCATATTCTTATTGCATATACAAAGCGCTTATGTAAGCGTAGCGTTTACAAGTAAGGCCGGTCCATAGGCGTCTTTTTTGCCTTCCTGTCGCGTGCCCGAGGGAACCAACGGTGCTTTGTAGTGTATGTTAACTTCATAAGCTCCTGACGTGCAACCTCTGGGAACTTGTTCTTAAAAGCAGTCATTGCCGTCTGCAATGCAGTTTCCTTAATAACATCAGAGCTTTGCTTTTCGACGAACTGTGGCAGGGGTTTTGTGTGCTCGTAGGGAAATGGAGTGTCTGGATGCCAGGCTACAATTGTTTTTCCATTTTTGGTAACGGCAACTCTGTCTACCAGGCTAATTCCACCAACAGCATTTTTGCTCACAGCGTTATTTGTTAAATGTGTTGAAAATAAACGACAAGAAGAATATAAACGTGCAGGCAACATCTTCACAAGTGTGACCTAACTGTAAAAATACTAAATGCATACTTATCGATAAGCCGCCACAATATATCGACTGACTGACATCAGCTGTTTAAACCTAGGCAAAACAAAACACGCGCAAATAATTTTAATTAGTTGAACAAGTCGATTATAAATTAAAATTATATATAATCATATATGCAGTACATATATATGCCATAAACGCATACACAATTTTAAGTTCACATTGTATAGTCAGACGTACGATGTGGTGTAGTGGAACAAATTGGCTCCGGCCATACCATTTGTTGTCAATAAAAGTCGTGCTTATTGACAAATAATATGTGTAATAATTTTCGTTTTCAACCAACAAAAATAAGTTGAACAGACTGAAAGCGGACAATAAAAAACTGGTGAAATAAACTGAGGTTTCGTTATCGAATCAAATTATATTATAGGTGAGTATTCTATCTATTGAATATATTTTAAATTCAATCAACTATATCATAGGAAGCTTAGATACTATTAATATGAGTGGGAGTGGCCGGAATGCTCGCCGTTCGGCAGAAAAGGCAAGACAGCAATTTGATATATTTGATGATCCGCTCGACATCGATATGAATATATCTGTTAAGAATGAAGTTATATGCCCCGATATGATGCCCATTGAAGAGGAAGTTATATTCGGAATGGTCGACAGTCAACAATTGGTCGAGGAGCAGCAAAAAATGCAGCGAGTATATCCCTTAGACGGAGGATCAAACCAATGCCATAATCTAAATGACCGCTTGAGCAGCCTGGAACGCAAAGTGGACTTTCTACTTAATGTAAATACGAAGATATTGGCACGTGTTGATAAAATTTGTGAAAATATGAAGACGGTGACGAAGCCAAATGATTTTCCTGTTAAGCACAAAGAAGCATTGGAAGTAATTGATATGCAAATTGCAAATGATCGAGAGAAATATGTAAGTAGCTCAAAGAGAAGAAATGTAACATGAGAATAAGATCACATTTTAATTTCTTTTGCTTTTACAGACTGAGCTTTTTAAGAATCTGCTAAATCCTAGTGGAATTGTTAAGAATATTGGACGGATATTAGACAAGAAATTGTTAATGGAGATGAATTATGGAGGACACAGCTCGAAAGCAGGCTTAAGCAATTATGTAAATTTGAACACAGCGTTATATGGTAAATGAAGATATTTGTATATGAGCTTATGATGCTAATTCCATCTGATTTCGTTGCAGAGTCTCAGAAGAGGGAAGGCTACACATTTGACGATTATAAGAAGGACGCTCGCTTGGCTTTTCAGAAAGCTAAAAATCGTGTTTACAAGGCCATATCGGAGGCGAGAAGGCTGAAAAGATTAAATGGCGAGCTCGAAGAGAATTCACAGTTTATAAAAAGCAAAGAGAATCCTAAAGACACAATGGAGTGTATGAATTAGGTTTCCATATAGTATAAGTAATTATGCATATGTATGTTAGTATTAACTAGATTTATTAAAAAGGAAACACATTATTTGTATATACATTTGACATATACATATATGCATGTGCTATTCTCATGTTAAAATTTAAGAGATCGTACATTAAAAATGCTGTACAATGTCACTCTTTTTTTCGCTCAGTTATGTTAGCTAACGTTAGGTTTTATCGATAGATTCAGCTAATCGAACGATAAGTGCAAGCGGCTGATTTAAAATTTGTTTTGTAAATTGTGCTAAAAAAATTTGCGTAATTTTATGGATAAGATTTGACAGCTTAGAATCCCAATGGGCTTTATATTTTGACGCTTAAGCTCTCTTGTGACAGTCTAAGCCATTTTTCTTTACTTGACCATCTGTTTCGTTGTTTGCTGCTGATTTTTTATTAAGTGTTTGAAATATATTTTGAATCGTTCAAGCTCATGCCAGCAACCTTATATGGCTTTTACTGACAAATATAATATTTTGATATCTAACAGCGAAATTCATTGCTTGTCTTCGGAAAACATTTATTGGTTTTTTTGTTTCCGTTGTCTTTGGCGTCGCGACGCGTTGTGTCAATAGACTCAGGCATTCTGGCTAGGTATGCTTTATTGTGGCAAAGCTTTTGGATATTTTGGTTTTAATTTAATTTGTATTTAATTAATTGGCCAGGCGAGGCAAGACTGCATTTTATCTTGCTATAGACATAGACATAGCCGTAGTCATGGCCGTGGTCATGACTTGGATTGGGACAGACGAAAACCAAATATCTGTCATTCACATGCCAATGTCTCCGGTTATGAGCCATAAAAATGGCCGGATTGTCTGAAACAACGAAATGTTGGGCATATATTGCGTATACGTACGGTTATCGCTCATACATACATGGCCATCGCAATTTATTGTATACAGGCTTCGGGCAAAACTATGACCATCCCCAGCCACGCCCCCCGCTTTGGCAATAGCGTGACGCCCTTTTTTGTGTGGTAGGCGACCGTAAAAGCCAGCTCCATAGCTGCAAATTGTCTACCATTTGTTTTGCCTGATAATGTCTCAATAAAATCTGAAGGCATTCGTAGGTGTTCAAACGTGTGCGTCCAAAGGTGAAAATGCGTTCGCTTCAGGTGTGTGTCATTACATATACGCCTACTTAGCTCCGTATATGTATATACATATATGTTATGTTGAGCCTGCGTAAAACACAACTATTTTGTAGTTACCAAAGTTGTTAAATTTAACGTCCGTCGTCCTTTATATTTAGTATTCACCGTGCCAAGGCGAATGCAAATGTGCTTTTTGCAATGCACTTTGCTAGCCCAGAAGCTAACTGCCGAGATAGTTTAATTAAAAAGTTTTCATTCATTTCTGATTATTGCGCCTGTTGGCTTTAATTACTGCGTTATGCAAAACATGAAAAGAGAATGCAAAGCTAAAGGCAAAAGAAAAAGAAGTATGATAAGAGAAAAGCAGTCGACAGTGAAACTCTTTGCATCCGATTCTTTGTTCTTAAATTCAAAATCATTATTTTATGCAATATGTGAAACTTTTTCACTATAGAGGGTATTGGAACTGTAATGTAATCAAAATTGTAAAAATATACATATTTGTATAGCAAAGTTTCAATATGCTTCTTTTGTAATATCGTCTATTTTCATTTAATCCTAACGATTTTCCGTTGTGCTTTTCTAGAATGACAATTTCTCGTTGTTTGCCTTCGTCCACTGCCCATCATAACGACTCTGGCTTCGTAACCATCTCGCTCTTAATTACCGATACCCTGGACTACGTTCAACAGTAGCTATGTTTGTCTCTCTTGCCAAGTGAGAATTAGAGAATACAATAAAATAAGATAAGCGTGGAGCTAAGATGCAAATTCACTTGGATTAAATTATATGTAAGCCTCATCCTAAAACTTCTAAATATTCTGATGTAATATTATGTTTCCAAATTTAACGCAATTACCTCCTAATTGCGTCAAAGTTGAATGTAATTATGCAACTTTATTAAGAAATGACAGCATTACGATATTCATAAATATGTATTGAGTATACATATACCAAAAGTGAAATATATTTATGATCATTATCAACAAATAATTTTATTTTAGCAATCTAGCCTATAGTTTGTTTTTTTATAATAGCCCAGATAAATGAAAATAGTGTTGATAATCACAGGGATGTTGGCATCCATTATTATTTCATAGTGATAATGTGATGTGATAATCTATGTATATCCACTAGTCGACTATCTTCACGCATTTTCATTTCTCTTTCTAATAGTTACAAATTCGGGCAGAAAGGAAACGTGGAACATAATTTATTTTCCTTTTGTCGCATTTTTTGTTCAACTATCCCTGACCGCCTGCTTGTCCAAGCTGTCCGCGAGGTTTTCGCTGGCTAATTATGCAGCCGAGTGTGAAACTCTCTCTCTCGGCGTGTTCTTCCTTGACAGCGCCTTTTAACAAATAAAGTTTTAATTGCTATGGTTTCAGATCTAATGGCAGCGTAGTTTTCGGCTCGGCGTTAATGAAATTGTGCAAATTTATTAAAAGAATATGAATTATAATTGCCTAAAGTGGGTTGAAATTAAATGTAAGGAATGAGCCAAACCGGGAAACGACTTTAGTCTAGACGGCCCCACATGCCGATTGTCGTATGTTGCGTATGATTAATTTTTGATCAATATTGATATATTTATCTGGCTATGTGAATCCCATATATGTACACATATATAAATACACATATACGATATGTAACGTATCGTTTGTCGATATATGTACACACATATGTA